CATGCGCATACGGCATGAGATTGCATCACAGAAATAGTCGGGAAACTAGAATATAAACCATTGATTAGTAATGAATCACACATTGCCTTTGCACAAAAGAAGAACTTGGAATCACACTGAAAAGAGCATTTGCTGCCTCACAACATCAGCTGAGTAATGAGCAGACATGGGAACACCATTGTTGTCATTTGATTTAATCCAGATTGTTTCTCGTAATCTGTGACCAAGCTGAAAAACAGAAGAGCCCTGAACTAGTGAGGCTCTCAGCAGCTAAATATTGGTTAAAGTATTATATCAGAGGCCCAGATGCAAATTAGAAGTGATAAAAGTTGCGAGTTGACACTGCAATCAAGGATATAGATGGTGCCATGTTGGTGACTAAGTCTAAGCCTTTCACAGCTGTTTTTATCTGCGTTTAATTAATCGGTTGTGTCTAACATTACTAAAGTTTTTCAATGAAATGCATATGTAAGCTACTATAAATTTGCATTTGTTACTCCCTTGCCGGATATTTATATAGTGGGTATAAACGACATCTCTCATGCCTCAGACGACTGTTCGTTTTTTTCACTTTGGAGAAGTTCTGTTTACATGTACTACAGAGGTTGTTTTGGATGTTGGCACTAAAAATAATAGGAAAACCCAACTGAGGTCTAAAATCTTAAATGACCTCATATGACCTCAGAATTATACCTAGATGGCACAAATCATTATGTTGTTGCCATTTAAATGACAACTTTTGAAGCTAGAAAACTGGAGCCATGTGACTGATCATGCTGCTACCAGAAATGGTTTCACCACAGAAGTGTTGAAACAACTATAAAAATTATTAAAATAATAAACCATTATAAAATAAATAAATATTTAAAATTTACAATAATAACACTCAGTATAAGTTCTTTGTGACTTGCTATGTCCATATGCAGGATACGAAGGCATCTGCTAAATAAAACTTGATAGTTAACTGACTTTATAGTTGACTTGATAGAGCAGTTTCTGTCACACCAAGTAAATTGATACAACTGAGATCATACAGGTTGCAATATTTCAGTTTTTTTTTCCAGGGAAAAACTCATCTGTGTCCTATTCTGTATATTCCTAAAGCAAAAATAAAAATTCAATATACAGCGGTGTGAAAAAGTGTTTGCCTCATGGTTATTTTTCTTGCATGTTTTATTTATTAATTACCTTCGGCTTAGTCTCTTATTTGTCAGGGGTTGCCACAGCGGAACGAACCGCCAACTAATCCAGCATGTGTTCTACGCATCGGATGTCCTTCCAGCCACAACCCAGTACTGGGGAACATATCTACACTCGTTCACACACACACTCATACACTACAGCCAATTTGATGTCTTCAATTCACCTATAGCGCATGTCTTTGGACTGTAGGGGTAACCAGAGCACCGTAGAAATCACAATCTAGAAATCCCTTAAGACCTGCCTGACAAAATGAATAGACCAAAAGATCCTCAAAATCTAAACATCTAGAGGTGTGGCCGGCTGACAAAAAATATTCCAGGAGCACCGCGACAACTCATACAAGAGGTCACAATAGACACTACAACAACAAAAAAACTGCAGGCCACATTTAATTTCCTGACGTTATAATCAGACCCAAAACCCAGCGATATTGAGGCCCACTGCAACATGATGTAGGAGTGCGGTTTTTCCTACACCACTGAATTGATTGACAGGCGCCATGTTTCTATAATAACATGTATTTACAGAACATTTTTCGCAAATAAAGTGGGATTTAAACATGTTCGAACTCTAACTCTCTACTGTAATTTTTGTTTAAAAAGTTTTTAATGCAGAGTCATACCTGACAACATTGGGATGTGAAAAAAAGGGATATGCCACCCATAATAAGGGATTCCATCGAGCCCCCCTTTAAAAAATCCCCAAATTACTAAATATGTTAATTTGGAGCTGTTTCGTTGTAAATAAACAGTTAAATGGTCAGTGATGTTTTATTATTATTTACAAAATAAAAATAAATAAATATATACATTAGGAACAAATACATTAGCAAACAGGTCAGCTTATTAAAATAATAGCAATTATAATGAAATAGAATCAAGTTATCAAATCTCATTAGCCGTTTCTTCACTGTATAACTGACACATTCTGATTAAAGAGCAACGAATAAATCTCTTATTTATATAGATTTAGTTTGATTTCATTAAATAAGAGGTGTCACTTTAAAAATGCACACATCTAACGTTATAATGAAAGCATCTGACTGTTTCCTAACTGTTTTTTCTCATTTAGGACGAAATTACTTGTGTTTAAAAAACCCCCACCAAGATCAACATCTTTAGATATTACCTGTTTATGTCTGTTGAAACACACACCCAAAACCCAGACTTTCGCTCCGCTTCAAATCACGAGTGCGGAATCCGTTTTGGAAACAGCGTCTATTTATCACCATGGAGCTCATCAGCTGACAGTCATGTAACGCTATATGACTGTTTTGAGGATTGCATATGAAGGGGTGACGAAATCTGAAGGGAATCGCGCTGTTTTTATGTTTATTTCAAAGTGTTTTCATGCCCAAACAAAGCAAAAGCACAGAACAGACTCGCATTTAAGAGCAAGGGCTGGCCCCTGGTGGTTCGGCAGTATGGGTTGCATATAGGGAGGCTCGACTCTTTAATGTCTATCTGCCATCCTTCAGTAAAAAGACTGAAAATAAGGGGGAAATATGGAAAAATACCTCTACGGGATGATAGCAGGATAAAACTGTAAAATACGGGAGAATCCAACGGGAGGGTTGACAGGTATGAGCAAACCATGAATGTTTGTAGTAGAGTGAGTAAAATAGCCATGTAATTCTTAACCTCTATAAAGACCATGGCCACATGGTGTCAGTAACACGTATGTGTGTGTGTACTAAACAGCATTTGTGTGTGACTCATTTCAGAAAGGCTTGAATAAACTCCACCACAAATACATGAAATAAACTTGATATTTTTGACTAATGAGCTGTATTTCAGCTTCATCCGAGTCTGTCTCTATTACTCTGCTGTTTATCTGACATAAGGCATGATGAAAAGTATACACACATGTGGGAGTGGTGGGCAGGGAGATGCTGTTCATTTGGATTTAAAGCCACAGATATAAAAACAGATACAATGTGTTCAGACACTAAAACAGGCTGATTCTAGAGGCTATAATAAAATATCTGATGGTATTTTGAGCTGAAACTTTACAGACATTCTTTGGACACCAAACGTTTATCTCTCATCTTGTAAAAGGGGTAAAATAGGTGCCCTTTAAAAATTGTGGTCAGTTTGACTGATGAAAATAAAAGTTACTTTGATTCAACTAAAACCAGTTAGGAGGCAAGAGTTTTTTTTTTTTTTTTTTTTTTTTTTTTTTTTACAGTGTAGGACATAGAGACCTATGTTGATGATGCATTTCTATATAATGATCACAGTATGTGCAGGTATGTAAAGGGGCAAACTTTCAAAATTTAATCTTTCGGGAAAACTTCAAAATTATCACAGATGGCCCCTATGCAGTTGGCATACCAGTTAAGAAATATTTTTAGATTCTATTGAACTGCCTCAAAGAAATTTTAGGATGTCTTTTAAAAATATAGTTACATGAGTCTTGCATAGTTTAAAGAATCTTGCATTTATTCTTTTATTCATTTTCTTTTAGACTTAGTCCCTTTATTAATCCGGAGTCGCCACAGCGGAATGAACTGCAAACTTATCCAGCACATGTTTTACGCAGAGAATGCCCTTCCAGCCGCACCCCATCTCTGGAAAAATCCTGCATTTAATAAAAGTCTATTAACGAGCACTGTCGTTAATGTAAACACCACAGTTTTTTTTATCCAATCAGACTTGTTTTCAGGCGGACTGGTGCCATATGCATAAAACATTTAGCCACAGGTCTGTGGGGGGTGTTTGGTATGATGTCAACATGTGTAAACATGCAGCTGGATTATTGCCCCTTAGGTTACATAGTTTTCGCATAAACCTGCTTTCTGTCAGCGTATTATGTGCATATACTGTATTAATGTGTTGTGTTCTCACATTGAATTAATCCCACATTTTAAATTTGAAGTCCATGAATAGGAAATCATTTAACTTTGAAACACCCTTAAAAGCAAAAGCAAATGGCAGTGATAAATAAACTGTAATATATAATTATTTTTTTAACTCCAGGGTGGAGTATTTTTCACAACATCTGCAGGCACAGCTCTTAAGTGCCTTTAAAAGGGCTGCTATTTACTCATATTTTCAGCAGTATTAGAACACATACTTTTACTCTACTCTTACTCTATATATTTTGGCAAATTATGGTATTTTTACTCCAGAATAATTATTCTGTACTCTTTCCACCACATAAACCAATCACATAAAAATGTGTTGATGCCAAATATAGCTTTTAACTCACTGACTATTGGGTTCATTCTTTGAGAGGAAACCCCGGTTAGACTAGTTTAACAAGAGAGATTGCACCAGATTTCCTGAACACTTCATGAAGCAACAAGTTGAGAGCACCAATCACTGAGCAACATTTTTTAAAAATGCAGCAGTAGAACGAGCTGGACTTTAGGCAGACGCGCGCACACACACACAGTCGCTCCACCCTCATACAGACGTCGCACGAGCGAGGAGCATACATTCACTCAAACTCAAGGGATATTTAAAAGATATTTCCCGACTTAATGACATTTTCTAGCTCAAGCAGGTATTCGCGGCGTCTTCTAGTCACCCAGTCGTGACAGCAAAGACTCGAATTCTTTCTCTGTTTACAAATGATTCACGTTAAAGCAAAGCGTCGTTTACAGGGGGTTCAGTCATGCGGACGCGGATTCAAAAGTGGCTGGAGATAAACCTCAGATAGCCAGTCCAGAAACTACCCACATACATTTGCAATGACGCGATAAGACAACGAATCGTTATCTGTTTGACCAATTGAACCGATCAAAGTGCGAGCCAGACAAATACAAGACTTCGGTCAGTGAAGGTGAGGAAGAGGATTCGTTTGCCACAGGATCACTAAACTTGGCCACTTTAATGGGAACAGATAACGGTAGGCTCTCAAAAATATTAGTATTGTACAATTATTTGAATGCATATAGTGATAAAACATTTGAAATGTATTTAGATGTAGCTGAATGTTAATTCATAATGTAAAAGTCATGTCAATGAGCAACACTGTAGCCACATATAGCCAGTGTCACATCGACTCGACTTTTAAATGTAAAATGTTTTATCACTTTTTTGTCATTGAGCCTAAAACGTGTGTATATATATATATATATATATATATATATATATATATATATATATATATATATATATATATATATATATATATATATAGATAGATAGATAGATAGATAGATAGATAGATATATAAATGTATTAATGTGCATTTGCTTGCTGTAAAACTCAACATAACTTAAAATACCCTTAAACTGTACATTTGAACTGCTGGTGGTAGGTCATATTAGGCTACATACTGTATATCATTGCCCCAAGAGGGGTCACATTGTACATATTAAAAATTATATTTGCTTATTGTCATATTAGCTGGAATAAGCTGGTTTAAAAAAGGTTTGGTAATGATTAATAAAAGCCATTACTGGCTAACTGTATACATTAAGGATGTAAAGTTAATATTGCAGTCGTTTCAAGAAGTGAAATCTGCTCTGTGATGCTGATAAGCATCATAAAGACACTGGTTGTAAAATAAAAAGCCACATAGGCTAATGAATTAGGCTAAAGTTCATTAGGATTGCCCCCTTTTTATGAACGAGGAATAATAAACTAGCCATTAGTGTACATAGACAATGTAGAACCTTACCAAGCAAACACTATCAGCATAACATTCATTAAATGTCACATAAATCAAAACTGCATACTTGATTATAAGAAAATCAATAAATCAAAATGTACACGCAGATTTACTTAGGTTTATAAGGTGACTTCACTATAAGAGTGTATCCAAACCTTGTTAGATATACTTTTAAACCACAGTATAATGATTTTACACACACAATTATGCTTAATATTTCTAAATTTACAGTAAACTTGCATTTGATTTTTCTAAAATCTAAAATAAATGGCCATCTATGGTAAGGTAACACACCTACCTTCTGAAATGACATCATCATTACATTGTTATACCATAGAATTTCTACACTATAAAGTTTATCATGCACATATATAGACTGTATCTAAATGTTATAGATCTAAAATAAAGTTTTAAATTTCAGTGTAGAGCTAAAGATTTGTGATTAATTTCTGATCAGTGTTGCCAGATTGGGCGGTTTTTAATTAGATCGTGCAGGTAAAAAAGGCTTAGGGGATTGACAAGATTTGGCTGGTTTTGATACAGTTATGCAAATAAATTATTAAACCTTAACTTTGTGCTACTCCATTCATTTAGTATTGACGCCAACTCCTTTGTTAAAGTTTTGTCCCAATAAGATGTTCAGCAGTTTTTCAGCATACTGTAGAGAATCTAAGATCTTTTGCAAAATCCTGGCTGTCTCTTTCATACTCACACGTTTATCAGGGTCAAAAAATAAAGTAAAATATCTATAATAATAAATCAATAACATTAATATAGCTAGATAAAACTTTAATGCAAAGTATTTATAAAATATTTTCATCTTTAAACAATTTAAATCACCAATATTTAATAGGTGGTGTTATCAACACAGCAAGTGCAGTGTTTGGGTGGGAGGGGCGCAGTGTTTTGATGTAATACGGTTATGTTGTAATTTTACTATTGTGGTTCTGTGACTCTTGTTTGTTGGTTGCTAAAGGGTTGAGAAATTGTGACAGTTATAGTAACTAGGCTAATCTTTTATTTAAATACATTAAAATTAAATATTAATCTAATATTTTGAGTGTTTGTGTGTGCGTTTGGGCGGGTTTTGGACAGCTTTTGGGCAGTAAAAAGTCAGCTATATTTGGCAATCCTGTTTCTGATCCTGTTAACTGAGACTGCAACTAAAGTAATAAGAGAAAATTTTGACCAACCTTAATCCGTTTCTTCTTTCTGTCTGTTTTATCCCCTTTCTTAGTTTCAGAGGTAAAGGAGAAGGGGGACAGGTCACCATGGAAAGATATAATCGAGGATATAAGTGTTTTGCAATTGGTGTTGTCATTTCTTTTTTTAGGTGAGACCTGTTGCACCTACACAGAAAATAAACCCCAAAGTAAACAAGTGCTTATGGATGCAATATGATATACTCATCATTGCCTTATATGTGCCAAATTGACATTGTAACATTTCTACCACTGCTGTGTTTGTGTGTATGCGCAGGAGTGGCTTGTCTACTATTGATGATCTACCTGATGTTCACCTCTCTGTGGATTTTCCCCACTCTGTACTTCACCTGGCAGATCTATGATTGGCACACACCTGAGAGAGGTAAACACATTATTAAAACACACATTTACATTAAAAAATAACATTTCTGGATTAAAAATGTAGGCAACACTTTAGTTTAAGTAACAACTCACACCATTTACTACTGGCTTATTACCTGCAATCTTATTTTACATCCCTAATCCTACACAATACCCAAACCCAGCTACTACTTTACTAACTTTTAATAAGCAGCTAATTAGTAGCTTATTGAGCCCCAATTCTTAGTTGATGTTTGTTAATAGCGTGAATTATACATTCAAATAATGTAAAACTCTTTTTAGCAAGGGTGTAAATTTCAAATTATACGTGCATAACTTATATAGGGTTGTACTTTCAGTGTAGGGTTGTGGGTGGAAGGGCATCCGCTGTGTAAAAACAGTTGCCAGAGTAATTGGTGGTTCATTCAGCTTTTGGTGGCCCCTGATAAATCAGGAACTAAGCCGAAGGGAAGGTTAAATTTGTTCATGTTTTCTCTGTCCACTAGGTGGCAGAAGAACAAAGTTTGTGAGAGGCTGGGAAGTATGGAAACACTTGCGAGACTATTTTCCTGTGAAGGTAACAAGACTCTCATTATACCCAGAAATTAACATCTGTTGTTCCTCTGACTCACTTGAATCTCCTGTGTGACTCTCTATTCCTTCAGCTGGTAAAGACTGCTGAATTAAATCCCAATAAGAACTATATTATGGGCTGTCACCCGCACGGCATCATGTGTTTTGGAGCCTTCTCCTGCTTCAGCACAGACCGCAATGGATTTGCGGAAACCTTTCCTGGAATACGGTCCACTCTTGCAATCTTAGCCGGACTTTTCCGCCTTCCTCTCTTCAGGGAATACATTTTAGCTGCAGGTCAGTAAGAAATTAGCTGCAGTGAGACTCATTGAGTGACATGAAAACATTAAAGGAATACTCCACTGTTTTGAAAATAAATTTGTAAATAATAAAAGGCGATATTGATAGTGATAAGACTAGGAACTATACTATTATTCAAGCACAATAATGTAGGAACTTTCCTGTTGTAGCATGGCTGCAGCAGGCACACTGAAATTATGTAGCATCTGAAAATAGTACCCAGCTAGGTAACTAGTTACCTAGTATAGTTCTAGCCACATTAGTCCAGAAAATAAAAACTTTTAAGTTTCTGTCAGACTTTTTTATTTTTGAACAAGATGTTAATGGTCTAATCCAATTTAATGATTTATGCTAAACTAAGCTGAAAGTTCTCCCATCAGACCCAGAGATCAACTGAATGGATTTTAACTCTTGCGGAGGTTTAAGCCTATTTCCCCAAAAAAGAGGACTGTTATTTTAAGAAGTTTGTCTTCATTTACTCTTTTTTAAAGGATTGCTGCCTGTCAGTAAGGCAAGTTTGGATTATTTGCTGAGCCAAACTGGTGTGGGTAACGCTGTGGTCATCATCATTGGTGGAGCAGAGGAATCACTGACCTCCTCTACAGGAGTAAACACTGTGGTCATAAAACACAGGAAAGGCTTTGTACGACTGGCTCTTGAACACGGGTGAGAAAGAGACAAGAATAAGATAAAAAGACAGAGTATCAGCTGACTGAAATAAAACCTTGTTTTAAAGTAGATACTGGGACATACCAGGGGGCATAAGCAAACTTTCAAAGGGGTCACAGGAGGATTTGAAAATAATATTAATTATATAAAAACCTATTTATTTTATTGATCATACTATCAATATTCACACTATTCATTTTAAATTTTAAACTTTAAGACATTAAGAAAACAATGCAGGGATTTACATCAATTCTAGCTTAAAAAGTTATACTTTTAAGTATTAATCCTTAAATTAATGTTAATTATAATTAATTATCAGTAACATTAATATAAAAAATGTAAACAATTACACTTTAAATATTGAAAATGAATGATCACATTTCAAACAAATGTATCACATTTTCCCCTTCATGAACTGTTTGTTTCCCAGATTGGGTTTAAAAAATATTAAAAAGAAAAAGCTGTCAAAATTCTTGAGAAATACTAATATATAAATAAATAATTATAATACTTAAATATATTTATTTATTTTTAAAGATATTTAATATCTTGCCGTGAAGTGGTTGGTACTTCTATTGTAGAGGGCATTAAAAAATCTTTAAAAGTTACATTTTCTTCATTTGCTGAAACTAGGAATAACAATAATAGCTCCATAATTCCATTAAAGCCAACTACTGATTGTTCTTAAGCTTTTACTTTTTGCTTTCAATTACTTGAACTTTTTTAGCCACATTTTTGTTATATTGTACTAAATGGTTTAGAGCTTTGTATAACTAGAAAAATCATTAATTCTAAATATAACAATAATTATATATTAAATAAATGTTTATCAATTGTGTTTTATACAATTCTAAAATGCACCATATCTAGGCTATGACTAAAAAAAAACATTTTAGAGGATATAGACTGAAATAAGTTCAATGAAAGCTGTTGGGTTACAAATTTAAATTTAAAATATATGAATTATGTTTTTGCATTGTAAGATATATTCTGAGGCGTCAGCTTTGACTGCTTGTGTGAAAAAACAGCAGTGTGTCTCCAAAGTTATGCAAGTTGTAAATTCGAGAGACGGCTGTGTCTATTGTCTAACAAAATATAAGTACGCCAGTGCCAGGCTGCAGCAGTTCAGATTTTTGATGAACGACACAGCGACAGTGAGTTCTCATTAAATTATTCTGCTTTAAAGATGCCTGTAAAGATTCTCCTGGTGTATCTCTTCTTTAATTCACAAGACAGCTCACATATATTTATGTCATTATGAGTCATCTTGCAGCCCAAGTTGCTTACACCCTAGTGGACCCATGCTGCCTGATGGAGAACCTCTGTTTTAAAAGACAGGATGGTAATATGGGGAAAAAATTCAACCCTAATCAAGCAACTGAAAAGAATTTAGAGTAATAACACAGATATTATAAGAAGCAACTGCCAACTTCTAATGCTTTTCACCTTTCTAAATGTTTGATCACATCTCAACCTTTTGCTGTGTGCTCAGGGCAGACCTGGTTCCAGTGTACTCTTTTGGAGAGAACGAGCTGTTCCCGCAGGTGGTTCTGTCTGAGGGCAGTGTAGGTCGACGGCTGCAGGTTCTTTTTAAGCAGATTATGGGTTTTGCTCCATGCATCTTCACAGGAGGCCGGTGGCTTCTTCTGCCGTACAAACTTCCAGTCACCACTGTGGGTCAGTTGAAAAGACTTGCATCTCACATTATCATATTTGATTACTTTTTAGCTGCAACACTTATCAGTCTGTCTGCCACTGAAACATTGAAAGCAGATTGAAATTCAGTTAAAATAGTGATGGCTGCTTACGAAAGTGTTTCATAAATCTTCAAACCTTTTCAAATCTGTTTTGCATCAGTGGTTTGGAGCATATATCAAATTGGCATGGTCACGTGATTTCAGGAAACAACGTTCTATTACATCACAACGAAGTGTTTCCTTTTTTTAAAATCTTATCCACTCTCCTCTCCACTGGGGCGATCTATGAAATACTATTTAATGACCATAAATCGTGTATGCTTACTCAGATTGCCTCCCAATGGAAAATCACTGACCAGGATTCATTGGTTTTACCTGATCTTAGATCAGTTTTGTTAGTTTGTAAACATTTTAGTAAGGCCTTTATGAGAAAAATAGGAATAAAATTTGTTAGGTTTCTTGTTGTTCTGTTTAGTAGATGCCACCATGAAACAAACATTATATAAAAGAATGCATATTATTCAAACACTTCATATTTAATGATATTTGATTACAGGCTAAGTGCATTCATATATTTTAAATTTAGAGTTTACAATATGTTTCAAAAAATCCAATTTTGATACGAGTTTTTGTTGCGTTTACAGTTTTGACCAGCAGGTGTCCCCAGCATGTGGTGTTTGCACATAGATGTATATACACTAGATATAGCATAGGGGCCCTGAGCATGCGTCAACAGCGCCGCCATATTTGTACAGTGATCCCACGACATATGTCATTCAACCGCACTAGTCAAGACAGTGTTACTACGTGAATATGCTGGACTTCAGCGCTGTCTACGGGTGTAGTAACGAGCAAACAAAGAAAACACAGCACAAAGGCGGAATATTTCATAGGTAAGATTTAGTTTTGTATGTTTTGAACTTTGGTGCTAACTTTATTGATGATAATACAGTCTCTTACTGCAATCTCCATTAGGCAAAGTAGCATCAACTCACACTAAATACTTCATATAAATAAAATCAGCAAACAATGCAAAAGAAATATGACAACGAGATGCTGCGGTGCCAGAAACTTATTGTCGGCTAAGTGAAGGAGTCGTTCATAGCAGAAATTCACAAACGAATCGCTTCCTCTGTCAGTATGAGAATTGAAAGCAGGAAAGGGGTGTGTTTCAGGGCACAAATTAGATCTAATTTAACAGGGAGAGTGGATAGTAGTTACATACACACAAATACAAGCTTTTTGTCACAAATGCCTGTGTGATCACTTATCCGTCAATGTAGAAAAGTGGTCAAATTATGATTTTCGTTATTAAAAAAAAAATTGCATACTAACCTTAAGGAAAACTCCCAATCATAGATATATGTATACATGTGTATCTCTGGCTTTGGATGGCCACAGTCCTCCACTGCAGCTTGGTCCCACATTCATTTCAAAGGAGCGCTACCCTGTAGTAAAATGGCGGCTCTATTGACGCATTCCTTCCACGAGACAACAACAGGGCAAGCGACATCTAACGTATATACTTATGGTGTTTGCATAAACTGTGTTTTGAATGCTTTGAAACAGTGCATCATTTTGCTTAGCAATTGATTAAACCTTTTCAAAGTTTTGAAAAGCTGGATTAAAGTTGCCCTTCTTTGATATGATTGCAATGTACCTTTGTGTCTTCCAGTGGGCTGCCCCATAAACGTCCCTCTGGTGAAAATTCCAACTCAGGAACAGGTGGATCATTACCACGGTTTATACATGGCATCTCTGGCTGATCTTTTCCACAAGCATAAGACCAGCTATGGACTGGCAGAGACGCACGAGCTGCACTTCATTTAGCAGTGCTGGAAAGCACAAAGCCATTTAAAAAGCTGACTGGGATATAATGTGGGGCTGATATAGGAAAAGGACAATGCACTTATTTCTGTACTGTTCCATGTGAATGTTTTAACTTCTTGGTTCTCTGAAATGATTCACAAAGCACAAAATGAACCAAATGAATACGGAGATGGGCATTTGTCTGTAACAAAACACTCATCCTTAAGAAAGGCAAAAGGTTTGCTTACGGTTATCTCAGCTTTGTTCTGTAAATTTGCACTGAAATTTTTACAACATGTTAGTGTTTATTATAAAGGTTATACAAAGACTTTTGAAGAAAATCATTTTTAAAAATTGGTTTAATATAAATGATTTACATATGTATTTTGTTATGTCTATTCATGTGAAAGATTATAAAACCAGCACATTTTTACAACTTCTAGTTATTTATTTGTTCCAGAACACAAAATTGTCTAACAGCATAAACAATTATGTACATATATTAACATACAAATGTTTTAAGAATATTTACAAAACAATGTTCATAAACTCTAGTACTGGGTGCGTAGTGCTACCACCATCCAACTTTTCTTTCTGCCAAGTGAAGTCATTTACTCTGAAAATACTTAAATTGCAGTTTTTCACTCTGCTACTTTAAATATGTCAGAGCCAAAGCTTACTCGCCACTGAAAACTTCAACAGCTACTCATTACTCTGCCAAAAGATTTATCCATTTAATACAAATATATAAAATTTCAACTGAAATGCCGGGATGAAAGGTAGTTATTTTACTTACTTACATGTGTTTATTGTGTGTGAGCAAGTGGCTGTAATGACTTTGGAATATAAGTTATACAAGGAATATAAGTTTGTAAAATTGTTGTATGATCCACAAGCGTGCTTTACTTCTGTTCATACCGTCAAACCAGATCAAACTGTCCACTTTAGACACCTGAAAGAAAAGGAAGTATAATCTACAATTATTACATCTTGCTTGCATTTTCTTATCTGTTAACCATATGTGACCCTGAACCACAAAACCAGCTATAAAAGGACTTATTTTTATTTTTAAATGACGAATTATATATATATATATATATATATATATATATATATATATATATATATATATATATATATATATATATAATACAAAATAAATACATTTTCCATTGTTGCATACTTTAAGATAAAACAATAATAGACCCTTTTTCACATTTATGGGTTTCTCAGCAACAGAAGTCGTCATAGAAAAAAGAAAACTCCTCAATGGTGTTATAAAGACATTTATAAAAAAAGGGGGAAAATAGTGTGACACTAGCTATGTTTCCATCCACCTATTTTTATGCGCATTTTGGATATGCGCATAAAATAAAATAATAATAATATCCATATCGATGGAAACGCCAAGATGCGCATACATTTTGAAAATGCGCATAAAAAAACGTATGCGCATAACCGAGTAGGATAAACCTTTATTCAATAGGAAAAGATGCTCACAAACTATGATGGAAACACTTTTACTGCACAAACTCCACCATGCGCATTAAAAAAAGGTCATGTGATTTTATTACAAGAGATCATGTGATGATTAAAAATGTGTGTGAATGGATAAACCAGCAGACCGAGCACATTATAAAACATCTGAAATGTTGTTTTAGTCATTCTAAAACGCCTTACCGTTTAAGTATTAGTGTTATTATATTATTTATGACCTCCAGAATCAAGAGTGTCTGAGCTCCGCATCCGACACCTTTAAACGCCACCGCGCCTTCACTGTGTGCCAGGATTGCCTTCTAAGGTGCAAGTCACTTATTAGATGAGGAAAAGATTGATGCAGCTTCTCCTACTGCAGCAAATTCAGTTTTTACAGTTGATATTTGGTGCCAGTTAATCAGGAAGTGATGATTTTGTTCGCTTTGACTCGTTGGATGGAAACGCTGCTTTATTCGCACGTCTTTTATGCGATAATTCAGTTTTGCGCATGAAGTTAATTCACATTTTTGGATGGAAACATAGCTACTGATAACAGCAGCCAGAACAATGTCAAAAATATTCTCAGCCCTATAGACACTGCATTACAAACACCTCGCATAAGCGGTAATTCTTTTTTTGTAATTTGACGCAAAGATAATATAACACATACAAAAATGCAGAGCGTCGCTAGACCCAATTTACAAATCTCCATTGCCCCAGTAAACGCTTTGAGATACGATTTACTTTAAAAGCAAGTGTATTTATTGACAGTGGTAATCCCAGAATAAAGACGTTATTCTCTATGAGCAACCGAACCAATGCTGATGAAAGCAATGTAGTTTAATCAAAAAGCAAACTGAGCGTGTGCAGAGAAAAAACAAACAAAAAAAAAAAACGTACCCGCATGCCTCATGCACCGCTCCTGATTGACGCTGACACGCGACTCTGCTCCCGGTGTAAGTCCCGGTTGAGAACATGCATGCCGAAAAAATATCTGTGCCGCTCATGCATTGTGAAACTGTGTTTTAGAGGTGGGTTTTTCAACAAAACAAAGTCTAAATATTATGATGGTGATCTTATTTAGACTAAGCATGCCTCCTGATAGATTTTTAGCATGAAGTAAAAAGGAGGGATGACGAATCAGGGAGGTTAGAAAAAAGAATTCTCGGCCATGAGTTGGGTCTAAGACAATACACAACAGATAATTCTATAAAACATCTTTTCTTGTTTTCTATTGTCTATAGATTTTTATTCTATTAAAATTAATATTCATGCAAAAGATTTCTTAAATTATCTTAGCATCACTTCAGTTGTGTCTTTAGATAGTTTTCTAGTTACATTTAGAATTCATTCATTTATTTAGAATGGTAATTGTATAATAACAATAACACTGTTATTTATTTATAACTACATATACTCTTTTGTATATATATATATATATATTTTTTATTTTTTTTTTAAGGGGAGCTGTGTCTAGCAATGCCCCTGCATAATTGTTCATAGATAAAAAAAAAAATAAAAAAAATATTAAAAACTTTTAAGGATTTAAGATTATGATGACCGTTAAACTTGTCATAACAGTCTTGTGAAAAGGGTCCATATTAGACCAAAATACAAACAATTTAAAATATCTGAACTCTGAGGGCCAAAAGAACAAAATTGGATAAAATTCTGAGAAAATCTAAACATGTAGAAAACGTAAAAACTATGGATCTTTGCTTAATATTCTAATGCTTTTTGCGCACAGGAATATCAATCATTTTGACTCATACAAAGAGTGTAGCCAAAAATATACTCTTACAACTTAAGACTGGTTTTGTGTTCATAGGTCACATATGCCATTTATTATCTGACCTCTGTTAAAGTACTGTTGTTTCCTCCACCCACACATATGTGAGTGAGTGCATTACCTGGTCTCATGGTGTGTTCCTAAACATCGGACGCAGCAGTAGCGAGCACCACACGACACACAGGTGTAGTTTGAAGGGAAGCCGCACACTGCACAGAAATGACGCTGAGGAATCTTAGAAGGCTCCGCACAGGCAGTCAGATAGTTTGGACCCTCACTAACACTTAAGTCCTGGATTTAAAAAAAAGAAAGAATAAATGAATTGCATTTATCAAGAAGTACAAAAAGAGCGAAAAAATGTTTGGCTGCCTGGTTAAAAAAATTAACAATATTTTTATACTGTTTAGACTTTTTACTCGAGCATTTTAACTTCCTTTTATACTAGAATGTGACGCTTGTTATACTGTCATAGCAGTATTTTTTAAAGAACAAATTGTTCCGTGTTTTCAAAATAACAGCAATGAAAACTAGATCCTAGAGTCAGCATAAAACATGTTGTGAAAGTCTGGCATACGTTTACCATATTATCTCACCAATGGTGATTAATATTGAAATTATAAACTAAAACCATGTAGAACGCTTGATCGCTGTGGTTCTACATACAGGGGTTCGTTCTTCATACGTGGAGTACTCAGTTAGCTGGATTTGGATATTGACAATTTGACACGAACTAGGATCGTTTCGTTCTTCAGAGCTGATGCGAGAGTTGTTGTCATGGCAACAGTTCTGCTAGGTCAACCCTGATCGGGAGCAGGTTCAATTCATATAAACAGGATTAGATCGGCTCAGTTCAAGCAAAGATATTACAGAAAGTATGTTCCGAATTCTGATATTTTCTGACAGTAGTAGTTATATACACTTGGGAAAATGGTACATATTTTTTAACTATATATATAAAGTTATAGTCATTAATAAAATAATAAAGTTATACATATTAATAAAACGTATGCAATCTGCACCCTCGAAATGAAAGTACAAAGACTGCCATCTGGTGGTGCAAAGAGAAAACTTATTGATATGAACTTTTTCGATCGCTTTAGTACAAATTGTGTATAATAGAAATGCACAATATGTGACTTTTTTTTTAAGCAATAATACATTTCAGCAGTCATAAACATGTTTTGATAGTTAATATGCCAGTGATTTGATACTTCACAAAAGTAGCAGACATCTTTACCAATATGAAAATGCTTTTGTAAACAACCAGTTATTCTTTACACCGATTAAAAAACGGCTACTATTATAAAGAAAATCTTTTCTAAATGTAGAACTACATTGATTTGCATTGAAATACATGATGAATACTCTTGTCTTGACAAATGAAAGTGTAAAGCCTGCAGCTCACAACAAATGTGGAAAGTTCTTGCGTGTCATATTTAACAAACCATACTGCTAATTTGATGTAATTTTGCTCACATGGATAATTGAATATTAATCAGATGATGTCATTACGCTGCTATGCCGTCAGCCAATCGTTGCATTGCTGATCATGATTTCGAGGATTGATAGATCTGTCCTTCATAACACACGCAGCGATCTCAGATCAGTTCATCCAGACATTATAATCTGATTCGCCAACTTGTTTGAAGAACCAAATTAGCGAGATATCAGTTATCAAGATTAAAAGATCCAGGATCAGCCAAATCATCTTAGATCATTTAAGCGAGGTACGAAGAACGGACCCCAGGCAAACCTTTGAAAACAGACCCACAACTGAGAGTTCCTGCAACAATCAGTTGCAAACAGAGCTGCAAAGCTAAAGGTGTACCACAAGTAGAGCCAGTGGCATAATTCAGTCTGTGAATTAGTGCTCTCACATACATACATATTTCTCTCTCTGACACTAAAAGAAAGACATATGTAAACCTAAAATAATTGTTTTACTTTAAATGAGTAATTATAACTGGGGCAGCATAGTGGCGCAGTAGGTAGCACAATCACCTAACAACAAGACCGGCTGGGTCAATTGGCATTTCTGTGTGGAGTTTGCATGTTCTCCATGTGTTTGCGAGTGTTTCCTCTGGGTGCAAAGACATGCTGTATAGGTGAATACGGTAAGCTAAATTTTCCGAAGTGTGTGAGTGTGAATGAGTGTGTGTGGATGTTTCCCAGTGATGGACTGCAGCTGGAAGAGCATCCACTGCGTAAAACACATGCTGGATAAGTTGGCGGTTCATTCCACTGTGGTGACCCCACATTAATAATGGGACTAAGCCAAAAAGAAAATAAATGAATAGTTATAACTATTTTAAATTTGATTGTGTCAATGTAATATGGAATTGTAGGTCACTCCATTGTTAATGTGTGTGTATGTGTGTGTGTGTGTGTGTGTGTGTGTGTACATTTGCATGACGTATCAGAAGACAAATTTGTACAATTGTAAAATACATGTGTATGACACAGTTATTACAAGCAGAAGGTGACTTATGACATTGCATAATTGTTGTCTTTTTCCAGAGAAAGTAAAAATGGCCAAAGTTAATATACTTTGTCCATTTTTTGGAGGGTTGGGATTAGGTATGTGGTTTGGGTAGAGTGACATAACAGTAGCACAGTATAGAAACAACAGAAACCTATGAACGATGTCTACGTGTGAGTGTGTGCGTGAGAGAGAGATTATTTTGCAAAGTGTGAAACGGAGAGCGTGTTTATGACATTGGCTCACGAAAAAGTATTTGCTATTTCCTTTGTGATGCTGAACTATGAGTGACAAACGCCTCACCTCCTCCTCTAGAAGAGTCTGGAAGTTTTTGCGAAACCTCTGTTTAAAATGGTCCCCCCTCGTCTTCTTCCTCCGCTTGCCTTGAAACCAACATCCAGCAGACAAGAACAACAGAAAGAGTCAGAAACAGAGATGAACGCACTTCTTAAAGCACATGTGTCAAACTCAGTTCTTGGAGGGCCGCAGCTTTGCATAGTAAACTATTAGTCAATTAGTCAACTAATTAGATAAATGAGTTTGATCAGGTGTGTTTAATCAGGGTTGGAATTAAACACACCTGATCAAACTAATTGAGTCTTTTAGGCTTGTTTGAAACGTGAGCAACAGGTAAGTGTGTTGAAGCAGAGTTGGAACTCCAGAAACTGAGTTTGACACCCCTGCCTTAAAGTAAGGTTCAATGCGTGCAGGATGGAAGCGGTTGGTGCACAACACCGACTCCATTCATTACCGGATTCGTTGCTCTCGTCGAACTGCGGCAGCCGCTTGACAAGCTGCGGGAGACTCGCGTGAGGATCGTCCTGGAAATTGTCTTTCTCGAGCGCTTCGAGCTGTCTGCTCAAACGGCGCAGCCGCGTAGCGCTGTCCAGCACCCGCCGCTGGCCCGGGTCCTGTGAGCGAACTGAAGACAGACATCATATACGTACGTTATGTACAACCGGACATACATGATCAGAGATGCGGACTGGCAGAGGAATAAAAAGCTAAGCTGTTTACATGTGTAGGCTACAGCTAACAATGAGAAACAAACGTTGCGATTCATTATTTATAACTGTTAGGCTATGTTTAATTTAACTCTGCACAGTTATCAACCAACTGTTTAAAGAGGCGTATATGGAAAGCACACATACCAGCTATCTTTTTCTCCGCCATGCCCGGAAGTTTAAGACGACAACAACCACTCTTCTTCTACTAGTTAAACTGTACTGGTTCTTAGTCTATGTGCACTGGCGCCATCTAGCGAAATTGCTCTGTACAACGTACTTGGTGGCGCTGTCACAAATATTATATCTACTATTGAACACGCTGGGGACAAAAACGCAGCCGCAGCTTGAGCTTAAAAACAGACCCAAATTTAACTTATGATCGATATTTTCAAAATGATCTATTTTAAGCCTCGGTCACGTCTCCATCACCTCAGTTGAAATGAAAGGGTGAAAAGGGCATACAACTAGAGGAAAACCTTATCACATAGGCTATATTATTAAATATAATTTATATTCTAATACATTAATGAGCAAATGTAGCCTTTCTGTGTTAGTTGACTTAGCACATACCCTTATTATTATCATTATCATTATTATTATTATTATTATAGCCAATATGCCTAATTATGAAATACCTTCTTGGGGATTATACATGCAGGGCAAACTTGGTCAATTATGTGTGCCACATTTGTAGGCTACTTCCTAAATGAATTTATACATAGGATATTATAGCATGAGAAAAACAATTAGGCCAAGTAACATCATTTTCTGTTAGAATCTATCAATGAATCACTTATACTCACTCACAATCACTATAACCTAGAGTAGCTGTGCTGAAGCTGTTCTTTTAGCTTTTATAGCTTTGCCTACGAAAGTGAACAAAAAGAAAGTGAAAGCATCTGCACAGTGACTCATATGATCCAGGATTCAAACCACAAGCAGCAGCACAAACCACTCTCTGCATCTCAAGATGACAATCGGTGAGTAACATAGCCTACTTTGATTTATTTTAATTAAATTCTCAAAAAATCGCGAATATACCACTGTAAAATGTGTGCTAAGTATTACCATTGTGCAAATGTGTTTATGAGGTATGAAAGTGCATCATTACCGATCGAGCCTGAAAAAAACTGTTTAGAGCGCTCATCTCTCATGACCAAATCGATTAAAATATTAGGCTAAAAATAAATTAGCTTTAAAAAGTACACTTTGTTTTTCCACAACAATCAGGTCGCTCAACTTGATCTCCACAAGCTTGAAAAGAGTCCAGAGTGCTGCTGCAACACAAGCTAATTATTAATCCAAGATAGAGAGAGAAAGAGAGGTCCTCTGTTCGCAATAGGGTACCGCCCAAAGCAATAATAAAAGATTTCATTGTGCTACAAGCTGGTGGAGCAGGCGACAATAAGCGCCCTGGGGTTATTCTCAGAATAAACGTCAGATAAAATGCGGCGTCAGATAATGTAAACAATACTGGTCATGATTATACCTTTACGCGACGTTTTATTTTTCGAAACAAAAATATTAAGTAATAGCGCTAGAAAAGTATCGCGTGTGTATTTAAATATTTTAAACACACACGTACGTGTCTAATAAAAAAGTAGACGTAGTAGAAATACTACAACTGTTTTAATTACAGGCATATTTTAAAAAGTTTTCATCTACTCGTGTTCAGCAGAAAAACACGTTCAGAACAAGAATGTTCAGAGCGAGTAATGAAATTGTCATTTTGAGTAAACTATAAGTATATTATTTTGCACACAGCCCCTCCACTACCCAGATAGCACATAATTTTGGCCCAGATCTGGCATAAATCTGGCACAGCAGGCATTTATCCAGTACTGGCATACAGCACGTGGGCCAAACAATACATTTTTATTATTTTTAAATAAAGAAAAAAATTCTTCCAATCAGGTCACTTCGAGAAAAAGCATGCCTAAAGCACGCCTAAAGTGCAATGTAGGCATGGGCCGGTGAGATTCTGACAGTATGACAACCTTGGATTAAAAAAATATCACGGTTTTACGGTATTGTGATTACTGCTCTAAAATGTGTTCTTGTGTACAATATGTACAAAAACTTTTTTCCCCTTTGAACTAAATATTTATTTTATTTTGGGAAACATTTAAAATATTTTGAAAAAGTAAACATATCATGCTAAATTATTCATATTCATAAATGATTGACTTTTGCTGTCTTTGTGTTTCACGAACACCGATTTCTTTACCAGTTAAACAACATTTTTGGATCTCTTTTCTGCTGGAGATAGTGTTGTCCTAAAAAAACAAAAATAATAAAATAAATAAAAGCCTAAATAATAAAATCGTACACATACCTTGGAAACGGTATTACTTAAAACCTTGACTTTTCCAAACCATCATTCATTGGTTTATCAATTTCATTACAGTCGTGGCCAGTTCAGGCTTAGTTATGTGTTATTAATTTGGCTGAGACTTGGCCCAGATATGGTCCATGTTTTGCCCTTGTCTGGAGGCCAGACTTGGTCCAGTCATGTATTGTAATCCACTGCGGTATGTGGGCCAAGCAAAAGCTGATTGTGTGGGCCAGAGCTGGGCCAGATATATTTTGCTATGTGGGTGTGCAGTTGTGTCAGAGTATGAATGTCTTAAGAAATGTATTTATAATAACACCGTACTAAAACCTTGTGTGTATAATAATGGTAAGATATTTTAAAGTGCTGTTTTCATGTGACCTTTTTAAAATGATATCTATTTCAAAATTTGATCTATCTTTTTACGTTTGTGCACAGGTCAGACAATGAATAGGTTTATAGATGATTTCCATAAGAATCTTCGTAAGGAGGTATCTGGCCTGAAGGCCACTTCCATTGAGTGTTGTGATTTCATACTGTACTTCTGCCTCATCACCTCTCGTGCTGGAACTGACATTGATGCTGCAATAAACAATCTTAAAGAAGTTGCAGGTAATATACAAGTTTAAAGCTGAAATTCACAATAAGACACAATATTTACAATTTTTGTATGATCCAATTAACAGTGCACTTTAAATTGCCTTACAGCTGTCAAACAGGTTATCATTGCTGTGCTTTATCCCACAATTAACCCTGACAAAATTATACCAGACACAAACAATGCTATTAAGAAAGAGAACACACATTTTGTGGATTTTCTGCTCAACGAGGATGAAGGGTTCATAAATTGTCAGAAGAATAAAGATGCCATCAAGAAACTTGCGAGGTACATGAAGTCCAAGGTAGGTCTGCTTATCAACATGGCTATTGTCATGGCATTTTCTCAACTATAATTTATTAATAAAAATAAACAAAGTTTTATATATATTTTAATGATTTTGATGCATCCTCTTAATTTATTTATTATTCCATTTTTGGAGATGCTGTTGTAGATTATTTTTCTAATGTTATTGCATTAATTGGAGGTTGCATTCTCTAAACAAGGATTTTTTCCAGATTTTATCCATTTTGTTGTAATAATACTATTATTTCATTACATTTATTTCCAATTCAGAATCTGACTTCATATTATTTGCATGGCAAGTATTCCAAGTTTAAATTCTTCTCTATGATTCTCCTGCAACATTATATCAAAATGTATTAATTATAAAATTCTTTTTATATAAAATGTGCTTCATATTTTGTTCCAAAAGATCATGGAATTCCACGTACACACTCATATCAGGATGAAGAAGCAATTCCCTTAAACCCAGGATGACAACAAGATGGATCTAATGGAATTGTGGATTGTTTCAGAAAAAATCGTGTTGCATTTGCTTTTATCGGTTTTGTCATTTTTGGCACTATTGCTGGATTAATCCTATATTATTCTTTAAGATACTAGCTATCAAAATGAATAAAGAAATTACACTAAAAAATAATGACTTTTTATGAAAAAAAAAAGACAGCTGTGGATGCCAGAAGAGCATAATTATAGCAGCATACTTTCAGCTTTTACAGATTTAACTTTAACAACAAACCACCATAAATCACTAACTCATAAGTTATTGAAACACTAATATATAAAAGTCAAATGATAAACCAAAGCTAATTACAAACAGCTTAGAAAAAAAAGCTAAATAAGCATAGGTGTCTTTCAGGCTATACTAACCATCATGGTAAAACACAACATTTTATTCTACAAAATTACATGTAGCATAAAACACTTTACATAACTGATGAGAAAAACTATAAATGAATTCAGTGAATTCTGAATTCGCTCCAAAATCCAAAATTGATTTTTACTGCAGCATTTTAACAGCCCTTTGCAGCTAAAATCTCAGCAGTTGTGAATTTTAGTAGTAATTGTTACTAAGCTTCATATAATAAACTGCATGAAGAGAATTAAACTGAAGGTAAGTGTGTTTTTGTGATACACTCTCAGAAAAAAATGGTACAATGTGGTACCAAAGAAGGTACAAACCCTTGTCACTGGGGCAGATAACTTTTTATGGAAAAGAGTTGTACCTTAAGACAAAGATACAAATTGCAGTACCATTGCAGTTTGTACCTTTAGGACATGATTTGTACCATGGGATACCAAAATATACCTTTGGTTTTTAAAACCTGAAGACACAATATTGGACCTTCATCAAAGGTACAAATCTGATCTATGAAGGTACCACTACAGTGACAAGACACCTTGTACCTTAACAGTGTCAACTGTGTTCCTTCAGGAACTATTTAAAGGCATTTTGCTTTATCCAAAATTACGTCAATTTATTTTCAGTAAATATAAAAAAATCTATTACACTAAACTATGTTTTTAAAAAAGTTTATTTTTGTGTAAATGCCCCTTTTCCATTTACAATAAAGAATAAAATATACTTTAGTATAAATCAAAGATCTAATTTTTTTGTTAAACTTTTCACAACATTTTTTTTACAAACGTTACAGAAATACATTCTACATCTACAATATATAACATTTATTTTCTCCAATTTTCACACAATACCTTTGTATTGACTTAACAGTTTATTTAATTGACTTAATTTTAAAATAGCGAAATTTTAAAAAGTATTGTAATGAGGTGTGCGCAATGTTTGATTAGCTTTACAAAACTAAAATATCTGCATCAACACTGCATATGCAGGAATTTTGCCAGTTCACGTGCATAGTGGAAAGCAAATGCCAAAAGGTGTGTAGAGCAATAATGAAAATGTATTTATCAGGAAATGCTTACCAAATATTTATTAAAAAAGCTTAAATGTTTAGTTTACAATAGCTATAGTTTTGTTTTCCCAGTTGTTTTGTATTATATAACTTAATAATTAATGTTTATGAGTTTCTTTAAAGGTTCAGGACACCCCGGAGAACTTTTTTTTTGTATTAACAGATGTGTGTGTGTTGAGCATCAGTTAAGACAATGTTAGCACCTGTCAGCTTTAATTGTGGGGAAAACTGGATAATTTTGAGCTTTTGTCAGCTAATTTCAGCTTCCGGGTTTAAAATGATTTTTGGGGCGGGATCAAAATCGGCGACGTAGCGCAGAACTGCAAGTGCAATGATGACGCGTCGGTTTCTCATTATTCATAGCGGAGTTTTCTTATCCTATGAGAAGAGGCGGCTGCTTAATTATTCATGAGACCTGCCATATCTGCCAGTGTCAAGCCCGAGCTGAGAGACACGGAAACCACGGCACAGTATGTAGCCGTTCATGAAGGCTCATATGCGTTTGTTTCCATCATCCACGGGGTTTGTTGCATGTTTTCCCCCGCGATCTTGTCAAAGCCGATCCTACAGCAAAGCTATGTGCGTGCTGATAGCATTTTTGTCGGGAGAGCAGCACGAGAATTAGAGAATGGCGGATGCTGTCTTTTATCAGGAGTTCGTTTACATTCAGACACATCACTGTGCTGCTGTGTTTGCCTAAATCCTCCAGATTACCAGCAGGGCTAATGGTTAAAACAGACAGGTCAGGAGACCTGCTGCACTGAGTCTGCTGGATACGGGGATTGAGGGAGAAGTCCTCATTTATAGGGTTTACATGAACACACATCTTTATAATTATATAAATTGTTGTTGTCTGTATATGAAATTACGAATAACAAATGTAGCAGGGCATTAAATCACTGTTCATTTCTTTGCATTTTAACTTTGTAAACTATAAACTCATGCGTCTCCTCTTTGTGTCTCATTTTGTGAGCTAACTGTCAACAACAGTTTTGCGCTCCCCTTCTCCCCTGCTGGCCACGCCCACTACTGCCCGATGCTCGCGGAGCTCCACGCCCATTAATCAGGCATCTTTTGAAAAAATTCTGAAGTAGACTTTAACCGAAAGAGGGGGTGTCATGGCCCTTTAAACATATGATTTAAATGATGATTCATGTTTTAATATGGAAATTATTCATAAAATCACTTAGCCTTTCCAGTAATATTTATTGTCATAAATATTGTAATAAAGGAGATGTTCAATACTTTTGTACCTTCTTTATGGGACCAATTGTTTACCTTCATTTGAGTTGTACCATAAAAGGTACAGAACAGTATCATAAGAGGTATTTTCTGTACAATTAAGGTACAACTTTTACAAAGGTACAAAACTGTTCCTCTAGGAACATTATTTGTACCACCGTGTACCTTTTTTTTCAGAGAGTGTATATTACAATATACACAAAGTTCACAAACACTTTAGGACAAAGTGACAAAATGCCTTTTGAGTAACTCGTGCTTTTTTGTTAATTGCTTTGCTTAGCCCTTTACAATTTTGATTTGTTACACTATGTCTGTTTTATACTGTGTATGGGTAAAAGAAGAAAATTACTTTATATACTAATAGATCTTGTCTGGCAAGAATCATTTAATAAAGACTCTAATAAAAGATTATGAGTTCACAGTGTAGCCTGCAAATGGTCATTAATTGTCATTTATAATCTTTACACTTTGCTGCTGTCTTAAACACCACAAAGTTTTACCCATTTATTAGTTGGACAGTTTTTAGCACTTAAAGTCTTATACAATTTATAATGATCACTTATTGTTTTATTTTAACAATTGAATGTTGCGTGTTGTATGAGTTTTAAATAAATATGTTATGCTGAATGCCAAGTGGATGTTTAATATTATTTCTATGCATATAATAATCACTCTTGTAAAGTGAATTAGTTTTATGTCAGAATGGCACATCTCTTTTTTAATCCAGTGAATTTAGCAATTTCCACTGTTTCACTTCTCCATATGTCTTACGATATATGTACTATTTAAACTGGTTAGTTTTCAGTGGCTGAAGCATTACAGATCAATTGGAAAGGTTTTGGGCATCGGGCATCATTCAGCTTCCCAGATCCGGTTAATTCCCCACAGTCTTCTTTATCTGAAACATTATTTGGTTCTCCTGGGGCCTGTTCCATGAACCAAGCTTACAGAAAAAGCCAGGCTTATTTTAGTAAGTCAGGTTTATTAATGCGGATTCTGTTTCATAAATAAAATTTACAATACTTCAAACTCAGTTACTCTGGCAACTTATGCTGGTAAAGTAGCCTGGTCCAGGGCAGGTTAACTTTCAGGCTAAGACTTAAGTGTGTTGGCTGAATATCTAAGGTAATGTCTATTATATCTTTAAATCAGGAGACAACTTTGACATTCACAAAAGTTGCAAAATATGTTTCAAAGATAGTAAAAATTATGGTAAAACTTTGGAATTTGAAAGACTGTAAATGAGTAATAAATCTTTTACATGCCTGCCGTTCATGACGTATGGCTTTCCATCAATCCATCTCCACTGGCCGGTTATTGCATTTGCTAGACCTATCTAATAAGAGTCAGATGAAAAATAACATGTTGGACAATATAATCCTAAATAAATAAAACAAAAAATAAATGAGATTTTATATAGTTGATCTGCTATTTTCAAGGTGTAAATTTGTGTCTGTGTGTTACTAACCCTCTCCCTTCAGTCATTCTCCAAGTTGAGCAGCAGGCTGTCCACACACCACAGTATGAACGTGCCTAATTTTGATAGCAGTTAAAAAGGAAAAGTCACAACCCTTCTTTACAGCTCAGAACAAGCATATCTGAATGAGAAAAATTAGATTTTTTTTTATAATTTGACACCATTATATAGTCTTATTCTTTTACTATTTACAGCTTTAGCTAAACTTAGTTGGCCTTCTGAGAAATTAATTATTTGACAAACCCTATTTAACTGACAGCTGAACTGGTTTTCACTGACTTGCTGAAAGATGATGAGCTATTTTAAAATCACTGAAACCCTCTGACAGCAGATATTACCTATTATCAAAATTATCTAAGCCGCACTCAACTCCATCACCTTGAATTGAAGTGAAAGAGTGAAAAAGGCAATAAAACTAAAAGAAAACTTTATCACATATATTAATAAATATAATTTATATTCTATTACATTAATGACCAAATGTAGCCTTTGTACAGTTTTTAACATTTATGTTTAGGCTGATTAGCATAAGAAAAATAATTTTAAGTAACAATTTTCTGTTTGAATCATAGGCTATAAATAACTTATTAAAGTTTCACTTTCTGGCTAAGGCTATTAAAATTCTGATGCTGTAAATCAGTAGCTGTACTGACCAATTACTGGAGGTTGAATATGAAAGTAAAAGTCAAGCTTGAACAAAAAGAAAATGAAAGTAATGAAAGTACAGTAACTCATTGTCCTCATGTTCAAACGTCAAGCAGCAGCACAAACCTCTCTCCATCTCAAGATTGAAACCAGTAAGTAACCTACTTTGTTTTACTTTAATTCACTTCCAAAAATGCTCCTAAATATACCATTGTAAAGTAATAGACTTGTGCAAATGTGTTTATGAGGTATGACAGTGCATTATCACAGATCAACCCTATAACAAACTGTATAACAAACTAGCCTATAGTATTCTGTAATTAACAAATCAAAATTAAAATATTAAGCTTCAATGAGTTATCTTAAAAAGAGTTAACATTTTTTCTACAACAATCAAGTTGCTCAACTTGCTCTCCCCAAGCTTGAACACAGTCCAGTGCTGCAACACAGGTTAAATATTAATCCAAGATAGAGAGAGGGAGAGAGGTCATCTGTTCGCTGTAGGGTACCGCCAAACAGTAAGATTTTCTTGTTCTACAAGCTGGTGGAGATAACGTAAACAATATTGGTCATGATTATACCTTGACTTGAGACGTTTTTTTTTTTTGTTTTTTTTTTCGAAATAATAAAAATCAGTAATATGGCAAGAAAAGTTTTGTGTGTATTTAAAATATAGTAAATGTAGACATGTATCTATTTTAAAAAAATAACGTAGTCAAAATAGTAAAGGTATAATAAAATAGTGTTAAACTACTCATCTTATTTTGTGTTTTGTGTAAATGTTCAGAACCAGAATATTCGGTGGGAGTAAATGATGACAAACTTATGATTTTGGGTGTACTATTTTTTTAGTAGCCTACACTGTAAAAATTAATACCCCATATCTACTCAATAAATTTGAGGCAACAGATTACAAGCAATATTATTAATTAAATTCAACATATATGGATTGAGTAACAATTAATCAAATAAGCTTATTTAAAATTAGTCATTTAAATTGAGTAAGCAAAAACTACTTAAAGAAATTAGCAAATTTTAAACAAAAATATTAATTAAATTGAACAGAAAAACTGACACGATGTTAATGAAAACTATTCAATGTTTTTATTTAAATTTCACATGAAATGTGTGAAGCCTGGTCATCAGCTCTAGAAAATAATGCTTTATATCTACACAATAAAATTGAGGCAACAGATTACAAGCAATAATATTAATTAAACTCAACAAGTATGGATTGAGTAAAATTTAATTCAATTTAGCTCAAATTAGTGGAGCCTGTTCAGCAGTGTGGAGCCACAATACAGAGTAACAACAATCTTATAATAGACAATACGTCATATAATACACAATAAAACATGTACATATAAACAAACTGATCATCTTAACAAGGACTTTGATCATCTTTTTTTAAACAGCAGTTTCAAACAACTGGACATTAAACAATATTATTTAAAACAATAGTCTTAGAGTGAAATTTATCTGATTTAATGCATGAAAGGTATTATTTGCCAGAATAATGCAGATTCATTGAAGCAAAGAGGACACAGCAGTTTATGGGTATACTACCCTCTAATATCTTCCAGTGTTAACCAGACAGTCACTTGTAAAAACATTTTTCTTTGTCACAGTTAAAATGCATAGGTCAAACCCAGGTGGACACAAGCTCTGGGAATGTAGTCAAGAGCCGTGTTTTCACTCTCGCAACGTAAGTTAGCGTGCCAATGCGAGCCAGGGCCAGTCAAGTTTCCACAGTCACTTCCGGGGCCTGATCAGATACCCTGGGCCACCAAAACAGTCCAGCTGGGGCTTTGGGCAGAGTGAAAGCAGAGTTTGCCTGAGTCTGGTAAAGATGAGGTCTATAAGAACTTTAACACCTTCAATGATGATGATGATGATGCCAGTATCTTTAGGCGGTCCCCTGTAGAAGGCCCCTGCTCAGGTCAACTTTACTGCCCTCACAAGCCGTTCAGTTCTTGTCGATTCTTCATTGTCCAATTCCATTGAGCAACAGTAAGAAAAAAAAATTAATAAAAGAGAAAATATGTTAATAATCTGTTATAATGTTATGACATACAGTCAGAAACTGTAAACATGATAAACATCATAAACTCTACCTTTAGTCTCAGATCTCTGTCTTACTCCAAGAGCTCCTCAGCAGCTGTGAAGATCCACGGTGCACAGTGGCTTCTCTCTTAAATTCAGCGCTCACCTTAAAAAACAGAATGACAGAAAAATGTTTACGAGTTTTATTGATACATTGTAAAATATTTGACCCCTAATTAACAGTAAATTACTGACTAATAATTGTATTACTTTCCCAGTAAGCCACTGTGATTTGTTTTACACTTACTTACAGTGAAATTACAGCCATATGTGACGTCAAGGTAGATAGTAAGGCCCATTTCTGTGATTTCACCGTATTCTCTTGTAGAATTAAATATACTTTACTGTGAAGTTACATTTAATGGCAAGATGGTTACTGTGATTTAACAGTATGTTGTAGCTGAAATACTTAACTGTAACATGTATGTCCAGCTTGCAACCTAGACAGTCATCCATTCAGTCAGTCATTTTCCTGATAAGTTACACACTTGCTGGTTGATGTGTCTCCTCTGCCTCTGACACTATACAAAAAGTTGTAATTAGTAAATAGTGTTAGACAATATCATTTTTGTTTTGGTTTGATAATGAGGTTTATAATGAAGTGAAGGCCAGTTCTTACCTTGCTTACTTTATTCTGTGGTCACTTTAACTCAATGCTGTGCTGAAACAGAACACAGTTAACAGTAAGTTAACAGAAGATTACCTTTTTAAAAACTCAAACACTCTCTAATACCACGAAATTAGCATTAACGTTACAAACACGCGTTCTAATCTTTTCACTCATAGCGCACGTGCTGCTGCTGATGTGACTATAATTATAGTGATATAGTGTTTTGGTATAATATAGTAATATAGTGAATTGGTAACTTCGTTTAATAGGCGCGCTAAACAGCGTGACAAAAGAAGCTAAAGTTACTTGGTGAATTACATGCTATACAGAAATATATAACGATTATATAATTAACAAAGTTGGACATTTCAACACTTACCGATAAATCCGTTTGGATGAGACCACGACATCTCCACGTTGTCTAGTGAAGCGAGTCGGCATTGTTTGAGTCGAGTGACTCGGTTCGGTTCTAGGAATCGGCTCACTTAAGTGATTTGTAAGAGTCGGATCCCACCCGAAACCGATTGCATTTTTGTGTAATTACCAACACGATTGATTAGCATTTCACTATAATTCAGTCACACGCATTTACACTATACACTTATTACATGTTGATGACTAAGCTTTAAAGCACGTGCGAAAAAGATTTCCGATCTCCCAGCAAACAGTTCAATCCAAAGACGGTTCAATCCGATTCAATCTCACACTGAACAGAACCAATCCAATGATCAAATATTGCTCTAAATGTACCATGAAATAAAGTTTTGACGGTTGTTCATGCGAGAATGTTGTTTAAAACTCAAATCCGCTGTTAATCTCTAAAGATTGTGCGTATGTTTAAATGTCCTTTGGAAATTGCTGACATGTCCACCTCCAGGTCATGACGGGCGCTCATCACTCGTGTACACGGCGAGGGCAGCTGGTCCTCGGCGACTTGTGTGCCCCTGGCTAATCTGAAAATGCTCATTTTAATCACGTTGGATTTAATTATCATTTTCTCTTTCTGAAATTAATCAAAAATAACATCTGAATTCTTCTATTAAAATCACGTTGGATTTAATTAATATTTTCTCTTTCTGAAACTATTAAAAAATAACAGCTAAATTCTTATAATAAAATTGATTAGATTTTATTACAGACATTTTTAAATTAGTTTCAAAGCAAAAAAAATGCCCTAAAATCAGGAAATTAATTTAATTAAATAAAGTGTACATATTAATATTAATGAAATCTACTAGGCCACAAAATGACTTTTTACAGTGTAGTTTCATTATTATTAGACTGTTTCCCTCTTTTGAACACAGCCCCTCCCATCACTGTGCAGTTGTGTCAAAGGCCAAGCAGTGATATTGTAGGCTACTGCAGAGTATAAATGCTTTAAGGACTGTACTAAAACTTTGTATGCATAAAATTGCAATATGTAACATATTTTGAAGTGCTGTTTTCATGTGCATTTTAAAATTGTACTCTTTATACTCTAAACCAGTTTATCCTTTTACTTTTATTTTGTACACAGGCTGAACAATGGATAAGTTTATAGGAGATTTTCAGAGACGTCTTCATAAGGAAGTATATGGCCTGAAGGAGGTCACTATCCTTGAGCATTGTGGTTTCATACTGTATTTCTGCCTCATTACTTCTCGTGCTGGAACTGACATTGATGCTGCAATCAGGACTCTTATGCTTGTGCAAGGTCACTTACCAATTTAAAGCTTGATTCACGATAAACCACAATTTATTTACTGATTATTTACTGTGCATTTGAATTATCTTGCAGCTGACAAACAAGTCATCATTGCTGTGCTTTATCCTACAATTGACCCTGAGAAAACCATACCAGACAGCAACAATGCTATAAAGAGAGAGAACACATATCTAGTCGACTTTCTGTTCAACGAGGATGAAGGGTTCATGAATTGTCAGAAGAATATAGATGCAATCAAGAAACTTGCATGGTACATCAAGTCCAAGGTAGGTCTGCATATCATCATGGCTATTGTCATGGCATTTTCTCAACCACAATTTACTTAAAAATATATATAACAAAATTTTGTGTTTTTTATGATTTTGATGCATTCTTTATTTAGTTTGATTTATTTTTTGTCATTTTTGGAGATGCTGTTGTAGATTATTTATCTAGTGTTATTGAATTAACTGGAAGTTTAAAAATTACAATTGTTGTCTCTAAAAGATATTTTATTCTTTATATTTTTTTAATTCATACATTTTTATTATATTTATTTCCAATTTAGAATCTGACTTCATATTACTTGCAAAGTAAGTATTCCAAGTTTAAATTCTTCTCTATGATTCTTCTGCAATGTTATATCAAAATGTATTAATTATACAATTCCTAAATGTTAAGAGATAAAAAGATTGTATTTCATATAAAATGTGCTTCATATTTTGTTCCGAAAGATTATGGAATTCCACGTACATACACATACCAGAATGGAGAAGATTTTCTCTTCCCCACCAGAGGACACAGTGGACACAGATTCGGTGGAGATTTTTGGCAAAAAAATCGTGTTGCTTGTACTGTTATCGTTGGTGTTGTCATTTTCGGCATTCTTCTGTGGATAATTCTAGATGTATTGTTTTGATACTAGCCATAAATGAACACAGAAATGCCACTGTAAAAAAAAAAGACATTTTAATGAAAAAAGACAGCTGTGGATGCCAGAACACCATAATTATAGCAGCGAATTTTCATCTTTTACAGATTTAACTTAAATTAACACCAAACCAAATGGAACCGATTTTTACTGCCGCATTTTTACAGCATTTTGTTAATAAAATTGCAGCTGTTGTGAATTTCAGTAAATGTAACAAAGCTTCATATAATATACTGCAGGAAGAGAATTAAACTGATATATTACAATATACATGAAGTTCACAAACACTTTTTAGGATGTGCATGTGCCATGTAACCATTTTGTTTGCAAAAATAGATACTGCATATGCTGTACACTGTTGTTTACAGTATGACTACAGTCTTCAGCATTTGTCCAAGTCTTTATTTAGATCTTTAAATGTGTAAAATTAATTCCATTGCTGAAAACACCAAACTAGATTACTTTTAGTAAATACATTAGGCGAGTTATGGTAAGTGGATATTATTGATTCTAACTATTGTGTTTAAATGTTACTATGAATAATGACATTATGCATTTTGAGTAACTCATGCTTTATGCTAATTGCTTTACTTAGCTCTTTACAGTGTTGATTTGTTACACTATGTTTGTTTTATACTGTGTATGGATCAAAGAAGAAAATGACTTTATATACTAAAAGATCTTGTCTGGCAAGAATCATTTAATAAAGACTAATAAAAGATTAAGAGTTTACAGTGCAGCCTGCAAATGGTCATTAATTGTAATTTTAATCTTTAAACTTTGTTACCGTCTTAAAAACTACAGGTTTCAGATATCAGAATGGCTCATCTCTTTTTTAAATCTAATTAATTAAGCAGTTTCCACTGTTTTACTGCATATTTATTAGAATATATGTACTGTTTAAAGTGGTTGGTTTTCAGTGGCTGGTGTTTTACAGATAAATCGATTTTGATCATTAGATCAAAGATTGATCAAGATTTTGAGCATCAGGCATCCCAGATGCGGTTAATTCCGCACAGTCTTCTTTATCTGAAACATTATTTGGCTCTCCTGGTTCCTATAGGGTATATGCCGAGCTAGTGTTTTTCCCATGCTGATACACTTCCGGTGACCTGTTATTGTGAACTTTTTTCCATTTCATACGGTTCCTTATACAGCATCGATGTTGTAATGTCATTAAAATACATTCAGTTAAATAAACTTTGTCATTCATTCAGTTGCTTAATCGTAAAATCGGACAAAAAGCCGTTTACTCGCACGCGCCTGTCAGAATCGGCAGGCTAGCGCAGAAGCTCCATTGAATATACTGGGATAAAATAAATGCTCATATTATAAAGACATAATTTAATGCAGAGCTTTTGTACAATCTGAGACCCACTTTATTTCGGATATCATTCAGCCAGTGGAGATCGATGATTTTTAAAGAAAACAGCCCTTAAACGCAACGGTTTTTGCATTGGCATACAGTTCGCCGGAAGCGCTTAACCCAGGTTATTAGCAAATTAAAAGTCCTATTAGCATGCTTCGACATATACCCTATTGACTGCAAATGGAATGTAATCACGTATAATCACAAAAAAAAGTGTTGAGCCAAACCACTGGATTTTAAAGCACAATGCTGAAAAAACACTGAATTAACAAACAGTAAAAAAATAAGTTATTCAAAATGTTCAAGATTTTAACAAACTGACTTAATAAATAACAGGGTTATACACCTTTTCTTCTGAAAATTATTTTTTAAAATTATTATGTTGACTGAATATGTAAGGGAATGTCAATTTTACTTCTTAATTGGGAGACAATCTTTCCAGTCACAAAAGTTACAAAATAAGTTTCAATAATAGTAAACTCTGCTAAAACCTTGTTATTTGAAAGATTGAATGAGTAACAAACTTTTTACTTGGCTGCTGTAATGTAAAATAATGTATGACTTTTCATTAATCCATCTCCACTGGCCAGTTATTGTGTCTGTAAGATTAATCAAGTAAGATTCGGATGAAAGAATAGTGCAAGATTTGATAAATCTTAGATACTTGTGTGCATCCACAAATGGACAATACAAACAGGGTACATTGCCTTCACACCCTATGGAGTGAGAATGCAGGAAAAGGTCATTCCTTCATTTCTCTCCCACACTCCCTTACCTTCACCCCTTCTCCTCTTCATCATACTCACAAAGAATGGTCATGTCAAAGTATAAATGTTCCTGTGTCAATGCAAGTGACTGTATTTAATTAATAATTTATTAGATGATGTAAATAATAAGTCGGGTAGATCAGCCTTCTTCTGAGCGATGCAGGACTGGACATAAAGTAAAAAATAAAAATAATCCTTCAAGGGACCAAAAATGGGAACATAAACATAACTGGACAGACCAGGCTGACGAGCAGATGACAAGGCTTCCAGAGTCACTCAAACGCAGACTGTGGGCAGAGCAGAGGTGAGCCGATGCACAGGATGAAGAGACGAGGAGGAAGAGGTGAGAGTGATGAGAGCAGGGCAACTAGAGAATTAATGGCAGGTGTGCTAGTGCGCACAAGACTAAAGCAACTCATACCTGCTAGACTGCTCATTTTACATGGACACACTCAAATATCTGTGGAGAAAAACAAATAGTTACAAATATTAGAGAAGCATTATAATAATCTTAACTATCAGCTTACTTTATACTAGATTTTACTGTGACAAGTCAAAATACAGTTACGCATATTACAAAAAAAATTACATATTTCATAAAGTAGTAAAGTTTATTTATAAAATATAAATCAATAAAAAAAACTCTTGTTATGAAGTACCAAGCAAACATGATTTAAAAGTTAGAACTGCAGAGGTTTCATGTCATGACTGACTTTTTAATTGGCTTCATGGGGCAATTTAATAAAGACGACTCGCAATGTACTCAATAAATACTCTTTATAGACCAATTACCAACCTACGTCACACATGACGTCACACGGGTCCCCGGTTGCAAAAAACAGACAGGCTACAATGGGAAAGATGTCGTGTTTTGCGTTAGGATGCCGAATTCGAGTACAAAAATAGAAAACTTAACTTTTACTATACACCACACACTGCTTTAATACCGACTGCAGATGTCTTTGGCTAAATGGGAGCTGAATGAAGTGAGGAGCTAATTAGAAATAATGGACTCTGCAGTTCTCATGTCATATCAGGCAAGCTCACGCTATGCTGAATCATACTCCTCACTCGTTTTTGATTGCAAAAATGATTTCAGCAAAAACAGTTACATGTGGTTAATTAAACTGCTGACACTGAATGCTAAGAATGAAACGTGAAAGTTACGTTTATTATTAAGGTAAACTTAGTTTTATATTCACACATTCATTCAGTGACAACGTGTGACACACTCCCTATATTGTTTGCCATGGCACTTTGAATATTCGGTCTGAAATAACCTGCAAGTGTGACTTGAAAACAACATTAACACTGTTTATTTGACTGTAAACAATGTTGTACTTTGATAGTCATTGGCTGCTAATATGATTTCGCTATTTAGAGTTTGCAAGTAATACTTTTATGAAATTATATTATTAACGAGAAAGTCTGAATGTGCGAATATAAAACCAACTTTACCTCTATAAGTAAGTTCACATACCCTGCCGTACAGGTGAAAATCACTGTCAGAATGCAGTTGTTTTGCGTGTTGGTGATTAATTACCCAGACCTTGTATAACGTTAGCTCCGTCTTGTTTCCTTGTCTTTGGCTAGGCGGAATCTCTGTGCTTAGCTCTTGAATCTGGTCATCATGGAACATTATTTCTTGTGTAAATGTGTAAATAATATATCTTATTTTTAAGACAACAACAAACTCTGCACCACATCTGATGTCATTCCCTTGCTGTAAATGCTAGGGCTCCCGGTTGCTTTCTGCCACCTCCCTGCGCGCGCATCCTGAATGTTTACAAACATGGTAATTGGTCTATAGAGTGGAGGACCTATGACGTCAATTTGTGAGCAAAAACCTGGAAGCGAGTTAGCATTTTAGCAGTTCCGGTTCCCTCGTCCGAAAGTCAATGGGTTTTTTGAATGGGGTTTCAGTGAAATCCCTTAAATAAGGTTCGTGGCTAACACAAACTCAAGATACTTTCATGTTTTGTTCTACGACATAAATCACATCAGTTACAGAACACTTTTGAATTTTTAATTCGCTTCTTTAAAAAGATGGCTGCTATCAAGTTGCTAAAGGAGACTACAGGCAGTGTCGGAGACATTATACGTCATCTATCGAGCTTATCTGGTCTGGAGCGCAGCTTGCTTGTGTTGGGCATTTGGATTTATCTGTTATTTAGGTATTTTCATGAATAATACTTTATAGTTTGTAGTATTATTCTAATTGGGAATTCAAATAATGTGTAGATAATTCCTTCACTTGTAAAGGCTGTCGAGATGCATTCATTTGTTGATCATTTATTTTAATCAAACAGTATTATGAAGATACTGCGTGCAGCCTGTCTCTTTCATGCTCTCAGTAATGCAAATTTCTAAATAAATGTGTAAAAATATAATAATCACTCTTGTAAAGTGAATTAGTTTTAGATATCAGAATGGCACATCTCTTTTTTAATCCAGTGAATTTAGCAATTTCCACTGTTTCACTTCTCCATATGTCTTACGATATATGTACTATTTAAACTGGTTAGTTTTCAGTGGCTGAAGCATTACAGATCAATTGGAAAGATTTTGGGCATCGGGCATCATTCAGCTTCCCAGATCCGGTTAATTCCCCACAGTCCTCTTTATCTGAAACATTATTTGGTTCTCCTGGGGCCTGTTCCATGAACCAAGCTTACAGAAAAAGCCAGGCTTATTTTAGTAAGTCAGGTTTATTAATGCGGATTCTGTTTCATAAATAAAATTTACAATACTTCAAACTCAGTTACTCTGGCAACTTATGCTGGTAAAGTAGCCTGGTCCAGGGCAGGTTAACTTTCAGGCTAAGACTTAAGTGTGTTGGCTGAATATCTAAGGTAATGTCGATTATATCTTTTAATCAGGAGACAACTTTGACATTCACAAAAGTTGCAAAATATGTTTCAAAGATAGTAAAAATTATGGTAAAACTTTGGAATTTGAAAGACTGTAAATGAGTAATAAATCTTTTACATGCCTGCCGTTCATGACGTATGGCTTTCCATCAATCCATCTCCACTGGCCGGTTATTGCGTTTGCTAGACCTATCTAGTAAGAGTCAGATGAACAATAACATGTTGGACAATATAATCCTGAATAAATAAAACAAAAAATAAATAAGATTTTATATAGTTGATCTGCTATTTTCAAGGTGTAAATTTGTGTCTGTGTGTTACTAACCCTCTCCCTTTAGTCATTCTCCAAGTTGAGCAGCAGGCTGTCCACACACCACAGTATGAACGTGCCTAATTTTGATAGCAGTAAAAAAGGAAAAGTCACAACCCTGCTTTACAGCTCAGAACAGGCATATCTGAATGAGAAAAAATAGATATTTTTCATAATTATGATTATATACAGTAGTCTTATTCTTTTACTATTTACAGCTTTAGCTAAACTTAGTTGGCCTCCTGAGAAATTATTTATTTGACAAACCCCATTTAACTGACAGCTTAACTAGTTTTCACTGACTTGCTGAAAGATGATGAGCCATGTTAAAATGACTGAAAGCCTCTGACAGCAGATATTACCTATTATCAAAATTATCTAAGCCGCACTCAACTCAATCACCTTGAATTGAA